CTTCCACCATCGACATCCCACCCCCTTTAAAAGCACCGTTTTTTCTCATGCGCCTCTTTTTGACGATTTTCTCACCTCCAGGCTCTGTTCCCACCATCCCCCCTCCCCTGCCCACCCCTCCGCCCACGCCCTTCCTCCTTTTCCTAGGTAATCCATGCTGAGACAGGAGGTTGAGTTTCCGCTTTTTTCCGATGGACTCAAAGAAGTCACTGAAGGTGCTCTTATTGCACACGCCGCCCAGAATGCCCCCCGCCGCTCCTCCGCCTCTGCCGGGCCCCCCTCCTCTGCCCCCTCTGGGGCGTCTGAACCCGGTGAGCCGGTGAAGCAGGGTGGATATTCCGGGGTTTTCCAAGGACGTTTGAAAGCTTTCTGGCTCACTGGGGGTCCAGCAGCGAGGAGGAGAGCAGCGGCCAGTAGCAGGGGGCTGGCGGTTTAAAAAGGCCAGCTTGGAGAGAACATCCCCGTATTCTGTTTTCACATCGTTTGTGTCATTCACATAGGACGGGTACGGACAGGGGAGTTTAGTCCGACGTCGCCTCCGAGGCTTCTTGGGCTGGTCCTCGGCGGCGCCAACAGCCCCGGCGTTCGGCGGCTCGCACTGTATTGCCGGCAAAGCCTGTTTAGGGGGTCGTCCCCGCCTGCGTTTGAGGATGACYGGGAGCTCTCCGGGAGGGAACATCACCATCACACTTTTCCCGTTGTTCTTCATCCGGAGCAGGGCGGTCGGTTCACGGATGGCCTCGGAGCCCTCCAGATTCCCGTCGTTGCTTTTCTCTGTTGATATAACCGTCTCCAAATTAGAAATTTTGTAGCTCTTCTGTCGGCGGCTGAGGCTGACAGGAATGCGAGGCACCTTAACGACAATCCTCCTCACCTGTCAGGTAAAGAAAAGATCATTTGCTGCTGGGAATTGTTAAAACATGCTAACATACAAGGTAAAAAATAAATAAATGTGCTGTTACTGCGTTTTAACTTACACCAATGTAACGCCCTCGTCTGCTGTTATTTGGAGGATAKACGCCCAGCACTGCATCAGGTTCTTCCTTCGTGGTCATTAAAGGTGCGGGGAATTGGAGAGGAGGGTTAACAAGGTTGCGGAGGGCCTGGGCCGCCTGACGTTGCTTCAATATGCTTTTAGGAGCTGCTTTGTGAACAGGTTTTAACAACGGCTTGCACCTGGATTTCGGTCCAGGTCTGTGTCCAAGTCTGGGCCCGGGTTTCGGTAGCGCTTTAGGGGCAGGTTTGGGTGCGGTTAGAGCAGGAGCCGTGTCTGTTTGACAGGTAGGTGGGGGTGGGACAGCCTCCGCAGACAAATGCTCCTCTTTGTCACAGACTGCAACCTCCTCCTCTTTAACCCTCCAGATCTTCTCCTCCAGTATGTCCTCCTCCTCGCCGCTCCTCTCCCTCCCCGCCCGTTTTTCTCCATCTTCGATGCTTCGGTGCAGGCGGGAGGATTTGCGCAGGTGACAGGGGAAGCGAGGTCGCCCGGAGCTGCGCAYCGCGTACTTCCTTTCTGTCTCCACGGGCAGAGGGCAGGAGTCCGCGTTCGGGTCGGGACCAGCGGGGACCGGACAAAACGGCGAGTCGGTCTCCACTGCGGGGACTGGAGCCGCCAGCTGATTGGTGGAMACCGGATGATTGCCAAGTGCCAAAGACAAGGGCTGGGGTGAGTTTGGGTTTATGACCTCTGGTGCGAGAGTTTTCGAGAGTTCTGGGTCAACAAAACCAGCGTGAGTGGTTATGTCCGTGTGTTCACAGTTATCCACATGTGCATGTGGAAAAGTCTTCACGTGCACATCTGGGTCCACGTGTGTTTGCATGGTTCTAAGAGTCTCAGCGGTCATATGAGTGTCGGAGTGCTCCCACCGCTGGCTGCTTCCCCCCGGCCCTCTCTGTAGATGGACACCGTTGGCCAGGGCAGATGGGTAGGTGGGCGGGACGCAGTCCAAGGTCACTTGTGCCAGTCCATCACGAGCAGCATGCCGGAACCCGCCGGGGAGCGAGAGGTCCCGCGTCCAGAACTCAGGTCCTTCAAGCCCCTCGGGCACGCAGCCCCTCTCTGCTGGAGTCTCACTGCGACCCACTGGAGCCCCAGTTCGGCCTGAATGAAGACGATCTGACGCGCCGCTCATTCAGTGGACGGGTCGGCCGGCGGCGAAACGAGAAGCAGAGAAAATGAAAATGCTTCTTTGCTAACAACCTGAGAGAGCAGAAGATTCAATCACCTAAGAACAGAAATGAAAAAAAAACACGAATCACCAAAACAGCAAGACGTCAAGAAATATGTCAACATCTCCGAGTTAAATAATCAATCAGCGCACACACCTTGCTTTTCTGTAATGAACATATTGTTTATATCAAATCAAACTTTCACAGCACAGATGGAGTTGTACTTGTGTCAACATATCTGGCAACGAGCCACAAACCCACTCCGTAATGCACTCTCCCTCCATTAACTGTGCCACCCACACACCAGCATTACAAAATTAGATCGCATTTACCATTCATATCCTGCTCAGTCTGTTGCTCTGACCAAACAGTTGTGGCGCTGATTTTGATTCTGGGTCGAGCTCGACTCGGTCTGCCTGACTGGCTCTGTTCTGCAGGGGATCATTGGGTCATCAATACTGCAGTGGAGAGCTCACAGACTTCTCTCTCTTCCCTCTGCCTCTGCCTGTGGCTGACGGTGGCTACGGCAGGAGAAGGGAAGACGGACGGAGAAAGGGACAGAGTTGAAGAACYGAGAAAGGAAGACATGTGGGGAAGGGAAGAGCGGAGAGGAAAAAGAGAATAAGAGATTAGTGCGTGATGTCACAGCCTGAACTGGGCCAGACTTGAATCAGTATTTTGGAGGTAGCTGCACCATCTCACACCAGACTACTCTTTGGGAGGATGACTAARGGTTTAAGTTGAATCGCAGCATCTTTCTCCGTGCCTTCCACTCAGTTCACAAGTTAAATGTTGGCAAAACAATACAGATGCATTGCACAGCACTAGACTTGGAGGGTGCAACAAGGAAAAAAAACATAAAAAAAGTGCGAACAATCACTGCCACCAGGGGGCAGCAGAGCGGTGGTGAAAATAGAGGTGTTAAGAAGATGGAGATATGAAGGTGACACAAAGACAGGAATGATGGAGACATCGGAGAAGACGAAGAGTGCAGACGGGCAGCGGTGTTATGAAACCCGGACCACATGTCCCGGACGTCACACGTGTGCCTGCGTGCTCGTCAGACACCAAATTCAAGCATGCTCGCAGCATTTTGCGAGCAGACACGCACACTGCTGCTGGCTCCAACACACACACACACACACACACACACACACACACACACACACACACACACACACACACACA